GGTGATGGGACATAATAATCAACTACATTGTATATTGACAAAATAAAAATTTTTAAAAAAAAGAAAAAAATAATAATAATTTTCATGTTGAGTTAAATTCCTTTGACAACTTTCTGTGCTACATATGAGATGTGAGCAAATGGCCTCTGCTGAACTGCATGCATCTTTAAACCAAAGACACTGCATCAAAATTGGTCCTGTAGCAAACTAATAGGGTTTATGAACCCTATAAGTAAAAAAAAAAAAAAAAAAATGCTATGAGATTTGCCACCCCAAATATCGCACACACTTCTCTCTAGAGATAAACTAAAAGAAATATGGAGTTCAATATTTTTAAAAGGTGTGTTTTGCACAAATACATGTGGGTTTGGGCAGCCCCTGGATGTGTATGAAGTCATTCCAGGTATTTTCAGAAAAGCAACAATAGCCATTGTTAGAAACGATAGACTGCTGTCATCCTGCATATTCACACATCCAGCTGATGTAACATTTTATGTGTGTATTTTCAGAGGATCCCTCAAACCAGGTGAAAGCCATGTGTAGGACATTGATGTGGACCTCAATGTTGGAAAAATCCAGAAGGTTAAGTTCCTCTGGAACAACCACATGATAAATCTCCTCCAGCCCAGACTGAGGGCTTCCCAAATCACAGGGCAACGTGGTGAAAATGGGACTCGGTGCACATCTTTTATTGCATCTAAGTCTGATTATTTATATTTATGTATCCATCTATTGATCTATGCATACATCCGTGCATCCCATCACCCACCTACCCATCTATGTATCCATTTTCCCGTCCATTCATCTACCCATCTATCCATCCCTCTATCCTTTGTGCATCCACTTAACCACTTCCACATCCACTTATCCATCCCATCCACCCATCCATCCAGACATCTCTCTCCTCATCCTTCTCACTACCCAGCCATCCTTCCATCTTTCCGTCTATCCACTCATCTACCCAACTGTGCATCTCAGCTTTCCATCTGTCCATCTGATTTACTTTGAAATATCAAACATCATTTTCCTCAGGCAAAATTCAGCTTGGCAGGGGTGAAGCATCAGCTGTAAGGCATAGATCCAAGAACCAGGCCAACATGAGACTGTTTTATCTCAAACAAAAAGGAAAACACCCAGGAGGTGCTGGGGGGAATCTCTGAGTTAACTTCAGTGGGCGTGCAGTTGATATAAATTGGTCTGTGTGGAGACTGTGGCTTGAAGGATATAGACTGTGTGGGGACCTGGCTCCCAGTGGCAAGCTCTTCCCATTCTAAGGGAATAGAATCTTACTTGGTAGGAGCTGGAAAGAATGTGACTGTTTTTAAAATATCAGGGGAAAAGCAGGACACCTTGACATAGAATAATGGGATGTTAGAGTCTGAAGGAAACGTGTCCCTCTCAGCTGCTCCCATTTTAAGATGAGGAAAGTTATATTTGGAGAATCAAGTAACTTGTCTAAGGTTACACAGGGAAGCTAGGGGAACTCACTGGTGGGCCTAAAGCAGCAGGCCCACCAGAGACCCCTCAGTTTTGTAAAGCTGTGGTTTGACCTGACCGATTCACTCTCAGCCTGCTAAGAGCCCACAGGAGAGGGGCATGTTTCTTGGGAGGTTTACATAGTAAGAATCACATAGACTCTAGCACAGCTTTTTGGTCAAAGGGAGCTGAATCCAGGGGTTTGGCTAAATGCTGTTTACTCATCTAAAGCTACATTTCCACAAAAGAGCCTCATGCTGAAAATATTTTCCTCCACAGGTATAATTTTTGTAGCAGTGACACTGTGCCGGAAGATGTTTTACAGTCTCTTTCCCCTTGTTAAAAACTTGGCCAGGCTCTTGTCTCTTGTGGTAATGAAATTTTAATGCATTTGGTTTGAGATTGAGGTATTAGTTTGACATTCTATATGTTCTGGGGTAACATTTTGGAAATGATTAATGGGACTGGAGCCAAGATTACCACAGGTGATGCCTGGAATTTCCCCCCCCCCCCCACCAGCTCTCTCTTTCAGGGCACTCTGTGTGGCCTGTTCTAATGCATCTTATTTCCTTAGATAATGAAGTTCTGTTCTGTTTGAAAAGGTCATTGTTGCTCCCACGTGTTGCTCACCCAGCTTTTAACATCTTAGGGGTGGGGAGTAGACACTACTCCCTGTGACCCCAGACTACTGTGATTTAGGTTAAAACCTGCCTGTGGCATGGAACAAAAGGGGCTTTAACACAAAAGTTAATACCTGCACATGGTACAAAACTCCAATGATACAGAAGAGTATTCGTATAAAAAGTGAATCTTTCTACCCTTGCCTTCAAGTCTCTTAGTTCTTCCTACAGACAACTTGGGTTTTTCCAAGAAATATTTCGTGTGTACATATGTATATACCTATCTTACACACCTCAGCTCCATCCCACCGTTTTCGTCCAAGCCCAAGTGGCAGCATGCTATCCATGCTATTCTGCATCTTGCTTTTTTCACTAACAATAAATTGACTATTGTTTTCTGCTGGTACAGAAAGAGCTCCTTCATTCTTCATTCAGCTTCATGGATTTCACTGAGAGAGGTACACGGTATGTATTGCTGCAGCTGCCGATGGACGTACAGGTGGTTTCCAAACTTCTCCTGTTACAAATACTCATGCAATTAATATCCTTTTATCATATTTTCTACATTATACATATCGGTCCAATAAAATTCTAGAATGTGTTTATTTTGATCTGTATTGCCAAGTTGCCCTCGGTAGTCATTGTACCAATTTACACTCCAACAAACAACATGGTAGATTGAACTACGTGAAATTGCCATTTTGCAGGGCAAAAAAAGCCAAATATTGGCAATTTTATATGGTGCACTCTAATATGAAAGCGTTTCACACCCTCACCAACATGGTGTATTGTCAAACCTCTCACCAATTTGATAGCACAAGTGCTCTTCCTTACATTGTGATTTGTGTTTATTTTGTTATAAATGAGAGTGAACGTCTTTTCAGTGTTTACTGATTCTTTGTTCTTCTTTCCCTATGAATTGTCCAAATTCTTTGCCAATTTTTGGCATCTTTTAAATAGAATTTTTACTTTAAAGAGCACTTTAATATTAAGGAAATTGGCATATTCTGTCATATGTAAATATCTTCCTCAAATTGTCTGTCACCTGGGAGGAAACAGAAAGTCTGTGGGAGGGACTGCACCCAGCCAGCCTGTGCCCTAGCTCATCCTCGAGTGTTCTGCAGGTGCCCGTGACCCCTGCAGCTGTCCAGAAGGCTCTAACCACCTGAACTCACACTGGTCAGGGCCAGGTGAGGCAGCCAGGCCCAGGTTTTCAGCTTTCCTTCCTGAGCTGGATACCAGCCTCCAGCCTGTGTGGTCCTTTTCCCAGGCTGTGCTCAGCTTTGCAGGGGCTTGGCACGTCCTCCCAGCATTGTTGCTGGGGCCTGTGGGGCACAACCATTCCAGCCTGGCCTCCTGCCCACGCACAGCCTTCCACTTGCCCCCAGCAGAACTGCCCACTCATTCCCAGGGCCCCCAGTGAGTAAATGGCTGGACAAGAGAGGCTGCCATTTTCAGGGACTCTGGGATAGTGTAGGGTTCACCTATTGGGCCAAGCTGTGGATATTCACTGTTCAATTCTTAGAATCCAGAAATGGCCTCATTTAGCAAATTCTGAGAATGGTGTCATGACAGCAGTGGCTGGTGCTTGAAGAGAAATGCAGGTTATTCATCCCCTGGGATTCAGAGCATGGGGGGAAAGGAGCTCTCTCCTCCCTTTACAGTGAGGCCTCTAATCCATAATGGAATGGAAGTGTTTGAGCTCAATATCTTGGGATTTTTGTTTCATTCTCCTTTTTCCCCTTTCTCTTCTTTGCATTTTCTAAATTCTTTTTCCTGATGCCCTATACAACATTCAAATGTGAGCCTGGTGCAATGAGATAGGTTCTTGTCTGAGACTTACTAGATGTTCTAGATCTCAATAAAACCACAAACTATAGGGCAAACATTCTCAGTCCTGACTGTACATTAGAATCACCACAGAGCTTTAAAAGAAAACCCCATGTCCAGGCTTTACCCCAGACCAACACAATTTCTGGGGTGGGGCACCAGTATTTTTTAAAGCTCCCCAAGATATTTGCAGCCACAGTTGAAAACCATCACATATGTTTCTTTCTAAGAGTTTGTGATGGCACTTTGTATCTTTACTCATATGATTTCTCATAGTGCAATAAGGGCTTATACACTCAGCTCTGCAGTAAGGCTGAGCTGGCTTTGAATCACAGCTTTGTCTCTTTCTACCTGTACCACCTGGGCTGGCTACTTGACTTCTCTGACCTCAACACTTACTTGGGGATGATAGCAGCCCTGTCACAAAGGGGCCTGGCACATCATAAACTGTCAGTCAAAGAAGCAGGAAGGGCTGGCTGGCATGAGTTATTCCTCAAGAGTAACAGAGACAAAGAGGTAAGACAAGCCACAGCCTCAGAGAAGGTATATGAAGTAGACACCACAAAGGATTAGTATTCGGAATACATTAAAAAAAGGACAACCCAAGACAAACATGGGCAAAGGACATGAGCAGGCGATCTACACAGAGGAAAGCTGGATAACAACTATGATATGCAACCTCGCCAGTAATCAGGGCAATACAAATGAACCAGCAAAATGACACTCTCACCTGTCAGGTTATCCAGGTTAATATAACCCGTCGGGTTATCTTTTCATTCTTCTAGCAATGAAAAAGAATGAACTAGGATCCACAGGTACCAAAATAGGTAGATCCCCAAAATGTCTTGTTGAGGAGAAAAGCAAGTGACTGAAAGATAACCATTTAGGTGTAGAAATGACCACTTATGAACATTTTTATCTACAAAACACTGCCACTCACCACATATGTGGTATGAAATATCAAAACATGGCCTAGATGTCCATTTAGAACCTGTCTTTACTAGTAATGTCACATTTATTTTTCATTACAAAAGGATTTAAAGGAAATACAATAAAAGGCTCATCTTGGCTAATTCCAGGTGGTTATAATGGTGTTTGTCAATATTATTTTTTGTGTAGTGTTAATTTTTTATCCAAATTTAAGAGAAAAGGAGAGAGAGCGCTGGAGATGGACAGATTGAGTCTAGGGAAACTAAGGCTGCCCAGGAGCCCAGATGGATAAGGTTTGCAATATTTTGGAGTTCCGCACCTGAGGCTTATGAAAGGTGACTGCATTGGTTTTTATGGCTAACTCTTCCTAAGATGGTCCATGTCTGTATTTGGATTCAAATCCTGATTTATCTGCCACTATTTCGAGACACCCAGTCAGAGGCTCCCTCCTTTTTCTCTTGAGGACCTATATCAAAACGCTCCATCTTCAGTTTCTGACAGTCTTGCCGCTTGTCCCTAGTGTCACACTGTCATTTCTGTACCAAACAGCACTACGGATGAGGACCAAACCCAGGACCTGGGCAGCATTCTGCTGAGCCAGCTAAGACCACAGATGTGTAGACATCTTTATTTCATAGCATTGACCTGCCCAGACATGACCCACGTAATTCCGCAAAGATCTTCTGAATCAAGACATTAACAGTAACAGGTGTGATGAAAAGCCCTCCATGGAGAATCAGGCATCTTCATCCTGTCTTCTCAGCCTCCATAGGGGGAAAAAATGAATACTTTACAAAGCTATTTCATAAAAAGTGATGTTAAATGAACAACAAATTACTTTTTCTTTTACTAGCTTTTAATGCTAATAGTGCCATTTATTCCTGACCTTCAGAAATATGAGATATTTTAAATGACAACATAAAAAGAGTTCTTGTTTGAAAACCCAAGCTACTTTAGACTGCATATTATTACTTCTAAGTACAGCGTGTGTCAGCTTCATTCATTTCAGCATCCATTTATATCTAACTGGTATATATTTCAGTTGACATTTATTGTTCTCCTGCATACGTGTCAAATTCCTTAATGATGACTCTGACAAAGGCGTAGGACTCGGTATATATAAATTACATTTGCTACCATATAATCACTGTTATCTATTAGAATGCTATTTGTGACAAATGGACATTTATTGTTCTCCTGCATACGTGTCAAATTCCTTAATGATGACTCTGACAAAGGCGTAGCGCTCGGTATATATAAATTACATTTGCTACCATATAATCACTGTTATCTATTAGAATGCTATTTGTGACAAATGGTGTTCAAAATAAAAATCGAATTGATTTTTTGTGTTATTTTAATATTGTGCCGCTCACAGCAAGCCTTTGATTGAATCTTAAACACTTTAATGCTCTATTTTTGTTTGAGGCAGATCAGAAATGGAGTTTTTACTATTCACAAAGCTAAAACAATTTATAAAACAACAAAATCAAATTTCAAAAAGCATCTTTATTTTCAAACCAAGGGAATAAATTTGGTAAAGCTATCGTTACAACTTAATGACGAAAGCCACGCACTTACATTTAATTTCTGTGCATCCACTTCCATCCAAATTAGATTTTAACTTTAATGCAGGGTATGAAAAGCCTCTACGAGGCCTTTGTTTCTATCTCTTTTCCCAAGCAATCGCAGGCTTTCTCCCGGCTGATACAAGCTCCGTAGCATGCTATGTTTCCCTCCGTCTTGGCAGTGGTTTGGGCTACATTCTCAGTGTTCTGGGTGCAGAAGGTTCTGTTTCTGAGATCCTTCAAAGGGGTGTCTCTGAAGGGGGTGCCTGTTTGACCCACATTACTTACAAAATAAATCACAACGAGATCCTGGCTAGCACCATCCTCTTGGGTTAATCTGTGGTTTAGAGTGGAGTGGCTGAATTAGGGCCCAGAGGCCTCCTGTGTTTGTACACCCTCCAGGTAAAAAATGGTTTTCGCATTTTTTTAATGGTTTCTTAAAAATTCAAAAGATTAATAATATTTTGTGATATATATAAAAATAACATTTCAGTGTCTATAAATAAAGTTTTATTGGAACACAGCCATCCATTCACTTCCAGATCATCTATAGCTGCTTTCCCAGTCAAATGGCAGAATTGAGTAGTTGTGATAGAGACCATAAGCAAATAGCAGTGTTTTTAGGCAAACTGGCATTGGGCAGGGGGTCTGTTACAGCTGACAGACCCCAGACCCTGGATCCAGGGTCCAGGATTGTAGAGGGCAGAGGGGCTTGGAGCCAGACAGAGGGGCCCGGGGAAAGTTGCCTTTGTGTGGCCTTCAGGAGAACACCTATCAGAAAAGAAGTCTATAGGACATTCAGCTGGGTGCCTAGCTCCCCTGGGCCATTGAGTGCCTGGTGACCCTTCTTGATGGTGCCCCAGGCTGGTCAGGAGAGGCGAGGTGCACCCTGCCCTCTCAGTCTTCGGAGAATCCCAACAAATCTAATTTGAATCCAAATGCACACCTGAGGCTTTTGTTGGAGACACAAGTTTGCCTCTTCGGGGAGGCCATCTATATTTTGTGAGGGAAAGGGCCTGTTTTTGGAAGCCTGATGGAGGCTGGTGTACCCCACTCTCCCATCCCCACCTCCTGCACCCCCTTCCCCATGAGCTGAAAATAAGATGCTGCCAAGGAGAGGGCAGACAGATGGGGGCTCTGCCTGCATGGGAACCTCGCCTAAGGATTCTCACACTGGTGGGGTGCTCACCGAGGCCAGGCACCAGGGCAAACTATGTATATTTTAGGAAGAGGTCATTTGCTTAAGGAATCCAGAGGCCTTCTGGGAAAAGAGCCAAGACTATAACTCTTGAAACTCTTGGGGTAGGACAGAGGCTAACAAGCAAGTCCTAAGAGCAGGGTGGGGAGATGAGAAGGTCCCATCTTCATTGAGCCTGTTAACTGTCACCTTTTTTGTTATTGTTGTTCCTTTCNTACCCCACTCTCCCATCCCCACCTCCTGCACCCCCTTCCCCATGAGCTGAAAATAAGATGCTGCCAAGGAGAGGGCAGACAGATGGGGGCTCTGCCTGCATGGGAACCTCGCCTAAGGATTCTCACACTTGTGGGGTGCTCACCGAGGCCAGGCACCAGGGCAAACTATGTATATTTTAGGAAGAGGTCATTTGCTTAAGGAATCCAGAGGCCTTCTGGGAAAAGAGCCAAGACTATAACTCTTGAAACTCTTGGGGTAGGACAGAGGCTAACAAGCAAGTCCTAAGAGCAGGGTGGGGAGATGAGGGGGTCCCATCTTCATTGAGCCTGTTAACTGTCACCTTTTTTGTTATTGTTGTTCCTTTCTGGTGTTTTTAGCTGTGGTCAGCAGGAAACAGAAGGCCTGCAAGTTTTATGCCTGCAAAATGTCATGCTAAGCCCTTTATGTATATTTCATTTGATCTTCCAAAATAACCTCGAGGAAGCTATTATTATCATTTTATAACTAAGACAACTGAGGCTTGGAGCAGTTACGTTTCTTGCTCAAGATGACTCAGTAGTTAGTTATGCAGCAAAAATGGGTATGAGGCCCCCCGCAAAGCCCAGCTTCCAACATCTTTACCCCATTATACTGGCTCCAGCACGTTTATTCTATTTTTGTGTTCCTCTTTTTTACCCTCTCATCTGTTTTCTTTCTGAATTGATTC